GTATATAAAGATATATATATAAAGACAATACATACCTTGCTTTAGCTAGAGACTTGTAAGCAACATGTGGGCACTGGTTATATATATATATATATAATATATTTTATTATATATAAAAAAATTATATATATATAATATAAATATATATAATATAGTATAATATATTTTTATTATATATAAAAAGAGCCAAATATATATATATAAAGATAACTTTGAGAAGATATATTTCTTTTTGAAGATTGTCAGTATGTATACAAGTTTTTTTATTTTTATGATAGAAATGTTTTTTTTTTCCAGTGGTTCTTCCCTGCTTTATGTCGAAGAATTAATGAATGGCTATTGCCCAAAACATTGTTTTCAAATTTGTTAATAAACTTATTTTAATTTGGTAACTTACCTTGCTTGTTTTCTTTTACATTTTGTATTTTTCTTGCATACGTTATTCTTTCATTACTATAATTCCTGCTTTATATTCGTATACTTTCAATGTATTAAACTTCCAGTTATACCCTCCTTGTCATCAGGTAATATTACTTTCAATGTATTAAACTTCCAGTTATACCCTCCTTGTCATCAGGTAATATTACTTTCAACGTATTAAACTTCCAGTTATACCCTCCTTGTCATCAGGTAATATTACTTTCAACGTATTAAACTTCTAGTTATACCCTCCTTGTCATCAGGTAATATTACTTTCAATGTATTAAACTTCCAGTTATACCCTCCTTGTCATCAGGTAATTTTACTTTCAACGTATTAAACTTCCAGTTATACCCTCCTTGTCATCAGGTAATTTTACTTTCAACGTATTAAACTTCTAGTTATACCCTCCTTGTCATCAGGTAATTTTACTTTCAACGTATTAAACTTCTAGTTATACCCTCCTTGTCATCAGGTAATTTTACTTTCAACGTATTAAACTTCTAGTTATACCCTCCTTGTCATCAGGTAATTTTACTTTCAACGTATTAAACTTCCAGTTATACCCTCCTTGTCATCAGGTAATTTTACTTTCAACGTATTAAACTTCCAGTTATACCCTCCTTGTCATCAGGTAATATTACTTTCAATGTATTAAACTTCCAGTTATACCCTCCTTGTCATCAGGTAATTTTCTTGTTAATGATATAAGAATATTTAATTAACTTTCTGAGCAGTTTCCTAACACAGCACTTAAATAAATAAGTTTTGTATTTGTTTCTTGCGTTCTGTTATTCCAGTCTTAGTAGTGAAAGCCTTAACCTTTCAATGCTGTTCAGATTTTATTACCTTAAAAACATCATGTGTTTCCATGTTTAAATAAGATGTTTCTTTAACTATAATTAATTCTAATGTGAACCCCCCCAGTGATACGACGGTAAGTTTGCAGACTTAGAACGCTAGAATCTGGGTTTCGATACTCATGGTGGGCACAGCACAGATAGTCCATTGTGTAGCTTTGTGCTTAACTACAAACAAACTTTAATATGATCTGTGAATCTTGATAAATGTGTTTGTGTGCAGTGGTTAAATGAAGCATATGTTTTGTATCTGTCTTCAGGTAACAAACCTTGAGGGTGTGTTGTCGTACAGAAACCATCATTTCTGGCAACATTCTGCTGACTTAAAAGTAGGGAGCATTCATGTTCAAGTTAGACCTGACGTTAGTGATCAAAAAATTATCAATCAGGTAAGATAATTTAAAACATAAGTAAAGAGCCACTTTTGTTTCAAAGTTAATTTAGACAGTGTAGATGTGGTAGAGTTCTGGCACTTTAACGAACTGCTCCTGCCTGTTTCTAGAGTGTTTCGGTTCAAAGTTAACTCTGCAACAGATTTTTGTCGGTTAGCATGGCTTTGTGATAGAGTTACCTTTTGTGTATTAGTATATCTGGGAGGATAAGTAGGTGAATCGGGAAGTATAAGTGGCTATATTGGAAGTGTGAACAGGTATATTTGGTAGTATAAGTGGGTATATTGGGGTATATTGGAAGTGTGAACAGGTATATTTGGAAGTATAAGTGGGTATATTGGAAGTATAAGTGGGAATATTGGAAGTATAAGTGGGTATATTGGGTGAACAGGTATATTTGGAAGTGCATTGTGTGATATTATCATTCGTTCTGTGTAGTTTGGTAAGAGAGGCTGCCCAGAAGCTGCTGATGTCAAAGGACCACACTAAACAACAAAATTTCACTACACAATTAACATATTTGACTTCAATTTGAAAAAGGCTTTCTCTAGAAACAGGCAGGAGCAGTACATTAAAGCCAGATCTCTATCCTGTGTTGTTGTTCTAAATACTGGGGTAGTTATAAATGTAAGACAGGATTCATTATTTTCAGTGATATTAGACTTATGATACGAAACACGGAAGTTGAGAAGGTTTTTCTCACATAATATTTTGAGGGTTACATAGGTATGTTTAGGATATGTTCACCTGTGAATTGATATGTGAAGAAATTCCTTGGAAAGTTTGGATCCCAAGAAAAAATACGTAGAAAGAGAGTAAGCTGTGAAATTAAAGTTACTTGTAATTATAGAATAAATAAATGTACTCTGTCTCGAATGTACTGTGCGTGAACTTACTAATTGTAAGTACTGATAACAT